GTGTGTGTGTGTGTGTGTGTGTGTGTGTGTGTGTGTGTGTGTGTGTTTGTGCAGGCGGAGTGTGAGGAAAAGAAGTGTTTTCACACCCAGATGTGTTTGAATGTATGTGTTTGTCTGTATGTCGGTGTGTTTAAGTGCAAGATGTGGAATGTCCACATTGCCGGTGAATCGCAGGAACCTGTGGAGCAGCCCGGAGAGCTGAACTTCGTCTTCTAGGTTTGGCAGCCAGATTGTCATACCTCTGATTTATCATCTTTGGTTTCAGCAAACACTCTCAAAAGGCAGACTCACCCTCTCCAGAATGTGCCTATGTCTGTTTGTGTGTCTGTCTGTCTGTCCAAGTGCAATATAAGCCACCATCTCCAGACGACTTTGTAAACTAAAGTAGGTACAATGTAAGTGTCTTTGCATTGATTGTGGCCCTTCCTTGGCATTGGGGACAAAGACAAGTCAAACATTGTTGGGACGATGGAGCTGGTGTGTGGGGTGGGGGGGATCAGCTTGCAGACATCAGCATGGACTCCATCTGGACGTCAGTGGCAGTTTGGGGCGTTGTTGTGAAGCTGTGTTGGTGTGAGTGTGGTGAAACGCAAGGCGCTGTAGTGCTTGTCTCTCCCTTAGCCGCTCCACAAAAAACCGAGCAGCCGGGGGGGGCTTTGCCTCACCCTTGCTGGGCTCATGGGATGAGTGCGAAAAAGAAGTAGAGGAGGGCAAAGAGTAGGTGTATGTAAATGCAGAGGGGGGATGAAGGTTATACACTCTGACCCAGCAGCAACGATTAGGATTGGGGRGGTCAGGTGTTTGCATAGTTCTCTGTGCAAAAGCCACCAACCGGAGCCTTTTTTTTTTTTTAATTCCTCACGGCTGGCTTCGTCATCGGTAGATTAGCAGAAATCARGTGATGGGTGATGAAAACATGGTCTTTACAACCAAGGCTCTCCTAGAGGCAAGAGATGAGGCAGAGTAAAAAGCAGTGGCTGGTTTGGAGTTAAAGAAATAGCTCAGATCTTTTGAAGTAAGATTCTTTGRAAATGTTTTGAATATTTTACCTCATGTAGAGAGCATCTTGAACGACCTCACCTTGGATAGATAGAGTTTAATTCAGGATCGACTGATGAGCTAACCGCTAGACAGTGTRGGGCCAAGATCAAAATATATTCCTAATCAACTCCAGTTTCCAAAATGTTCCATCAGTTTGTGCAAACACTACCTTTACATTGCTATCAGTTTCACATCAYGTGGTTATTTAGACAGAATTCTATTATTTCCAGGTGCAAATAGCAGAATAGCAAAATAGAAAAAGGCAGCTAGCTGTAGCCCTTTCTGTGCAACCTGGGGCACTTCCAGAAGAAATATCATATTTCTGTTGGAAGAAGCATGCAATGTGAACTTGACAGCATAAACGTAAACCACTATGTGAAGCATTTCTTTTGGTCTTTGGTCTCACCTAAACAAGCCATTAACTCATCAGTACAGTCAGAAATAAGCTCAATAGATAGTTCCCACAAGACCAGACCGGAAGTTAGCCGTCGTGATAGGGATCCGGTAAACTCCGTTACCTGTGAGCCTTATGGGCAGCGTTACGAAAGCTTTGTTTTTCAGCYTTTTTTYCCCTAAATTTTTGTGAGCTATGGCTTTAACAAAGGCTGAATAGATAGACACAATAGATAGTTTGTCATTAAAAGCCACGAAGGAAAGATGTGCTATTATTGGGATGCGAGGAAGACAAAGGCTAAATGAGTTGGACTCGCTACTGGCAGTCGAGAACATCAACATTGTAAATTATTTAATTTTTAAAAATGTGCCAAAACTATAGATAAACTATGTTTCTTAAAGTCTTTGGACYCTTTCAACTAAAACARTGGTGGCAGGTGGAAGATRTRAGAACACAAAAACTGATGAACAAAACTCGAATAACAGGTGAGTACACAGTGTTGTTTTGTCCATGAATGTAACTAATATCATTGCTTTTAGATTGGTCTTTATTTCTAGTCTCAAATTAGCATGAATTGAAATTGATATGAGCATTTGTACGAGAACAGAAATTAGTTAATTAAAATGTGATCGTTTGTCGTTCAGGTCGAGTCTCCATTCTGACTGATTTACAGACTGTCGGATTGATTTTAGGAACATTTGAAATTGTTCCTACTGGTAAAGAAGTGATCTGAGCAAATCCATGCGGTATGAGACAGTGCGTTTTCTTGGTTTATTGGTCGGTTTCATGCTAAGTAGCATAGTTAGCTCACATTTCTTGCTTTTAATCCTTGGGATATTACAAAATATAACAAAACTTTGCTTTATTTATCACCTTTTTTACACCCTTGACCCCAATGGAGTGAAAAGCTCAAACAATAACTTATATCGCATTATCGCAATGGCACCAGCAATCCGGATGTAGGAAGTGCGCTGTCACGTTGGGAACTAGCTATTCTTCCAAACTAAGGCCGGTCCAACAGCCATCTACAACTGGCAAGATTTTAACTCACTTCAACTGATCCCAGCTGTCACTTCAGGTTTCAGATTTAGCTGTGATAGARTTGAGTATCTGGGTGAGCAGGAGCGGCAGGGCAGTCATTTGGCAGTCGCACGTTACAGCTTGTCTCGGGTCAGAGAGCCTCTTTTCCCGTGATTTTTGCTCTTCCGTCCTCCCCGTCCTCCTCCCCACTGGCCTGCCCTCTCTCTACCTTTTTTCTTGTTTTGAAACTGATTGTCTTCTACCATCACAAAGACACTTGGTTCTGATTGATTAACAGGTAACAGAAGAGGGAGAGCACAGTGCGACTGGGGGTGTCTACATCAGTCTCCACCGGCAAGCTGCGCCGTCCAGCTCGGAAACGACACACAGATGCTGTTTGACAGTAAATGCAGACTACGTTTCAGGGCTGGAACATCAGTTGCCACATGGTACTGAACGTTTGTTGGTCAATCAGYCAGTAAGAAATGGTTTCAGATTTTTGCATGACAAATATTGCAACCCATAGCAAAGGAACATAAAGTAGAAAACACCGTCTGCACAGAGGTACAAATGAACACRTATACACAGATTGAAGGAAAGCATGTCGACAAACATACAGGTATATTCAAGGCCTCTCAGATCTGTGTGTGTCCCTTTGATTAACTCCAAGTAAACATCCCGTCTTTGGAAAAGCAAGACACACGTTTTCGAGACCCGAGTACAGACCCCAAGCTGAGGAATGAAGATTGAATGCTATTGATTGGGAGGAGAGGAGTTTGACCTCCCCCAGCACACACTGCCCCCTACTGTCTAGATTTATATACATCAAAAAAACAAAAGAAAAGAAAAGAAAAACGAGGGGGAAAGGAGGGGAGGGTTGCAACAACACATGCACACAACCAGAGAATCCAACAGTGACATAAATTCTAAAAACAGGACCCCTCCAATGTCTATAACCCAAATCCTCCCACCCTGCTTTTTTTTAATTCTGTATTTTGATAACCAAAATATTCCCACCCCTTTTCCACCCRCACCCAAGTCTTTCCATCCTCCTCTCCCCACAAAATCACAGGTCATTCCTGTTGGTTTCTATACAGTTATACAATATCCATGCACAAAAGAAAAGAAAATGCACCTTCTTCTCAACAGAAGGTGCTGATCTTTAATATTCTAAGAACATCAGGAGCACTTTAACACACCCAGGGACCTTCAAAAGTAACTTTTTTTGTATTTTTTTTTCTTTAGAGAAAAGACAACTTAAAGGCAGAAGAAAGCTAACACTGAATGTAAGATTATTCCTCCTTTGGTTTAACATCAAATGTTTGGCTTATAATTCAGGTCAAATTATATATGTTCATTTATTTTTCTTCTATTTTTTTCGTCGATTAGAGCTTCAAACTAAACATCTTAAGCTCGACCCTTTCTTACCTACCCTTCTTTTCTGTCTCGTCTTTTCTCAGCTAAACCTCCACAGAAACATTCACAATGTCTTTTCCTTTTTATGAAAACAGTAAGTACATGCCGTAGCAAAAACAAATACAAGAAAAATAAGCAAAAAAATAAAATGGATAAAAGGAATTTAACAGTATAAAGCTTCAAGTCACAAGTTCCAAAACTAACTATCATAGTATCATAGTTTCATAATCATTGTTATCATTAGCAGTATTCTTTTTTTACTTTAAATTACATAAAGTTTACATGAAAGGTTTTTGAGGTATTTCAGAATTAAATTGTCAACACACGCCTACCGAGTCCGAGCACTAGCCGGGGGGAAAAGTGATGTGGACGGATGAAGGTGGAGGGAGGAGTTTGTGTTTCTTAAAGAAGTCGTGAGTTTTCCACACTGTTTTCAGTGCAGCCTCTGTGCTTGCACGAGGTGGATAGGAAAAGAAAAACTAAACCAAAAAAATCCCAGGAGTGCTTGAAGCCTGTCGTGTTTCTACCCCTCTCTTTCTCTGTTACACAAAAATATCTCTGATGAGAAAGGCAAACACGGGCGAGGCCACAAGCACACCCGGCAGAAAGCAAATTCGAAAAAGAAAGGCTCGCGGAGCTAGCAGATGATCAATGGCGAAAGACTGAAAGATTAAGGAGTAACATAGAGTTTGGTTTCAAATAAATAGTGTATAGAAAATGTTTTATAGACTTTCTACGTGATAAAGTGCTTGTATTCTAGTGTATCAAGATGGAAAGTCAATACGGGGGAAAATGCTGACACAGCCGCCACTCTGTGTCCCTCTCTTTGCCCCCACCCCCCCCAAACTGTCCATCCAATTATGGGAGCATTGTCTGAAGTGTGAGAGCATGGTTGTGAGCTATGTGTGTGTGTGTGTGTACCAGTGCAGTCCCACCCGTGGTTGAAGGGAAAAGGCACTCAACTCTGTCTGCAAGGCAACCACCTCCTCCTATGTGGCACGATGCAGTCTGACTGCACTGTTTGGGCAAAATGCGACGAAGAGCTTATACGTATGTGTGTGTCCGTCGTTAAAGGAGCTGTTTTAATTTTTTTGGGCAAAGAGATGCGTTTGTGTCCTCCCCCAGGCAGTTTGAGACTGGTAGGCTGCAGTATCTTTGGTATCAGTGGCGGTTTCACAAACCACTCCGCTTAGTGAGGTAGCCACACTGGTTCTCACTACAAACAAATGTCATTTTGTCAGCTTAAAACCTAGAAGTGAATCTAGCCGTTTGCTCACCGAGCTGTATACAACAAGTCGATTTAAGCTCGTCTTCCTTTGGCGACGTTAACTCACTGCTTACAGCAGCACGAAGTTAGTCAGGGCCTCTCGATCATCTCCTCCATAATGACCATTTCTTATCTAATCTTTACCGCTAATCTGACTACATTGTTGGAAATGCTACAGTTGCATCTTAAGACCACAAAGATAGCTATTGAGTCCCAGGCTGTAATACCCACCCCACCCTTAATGCTCCTTCCAACTGAACATACTGAGTCAGCCAGGACATTCGGAGGTCGTGTTTTATCCCTTGCTGTTGTTGTTTTTTTATTTATTTATATATTTTTTTGTTGTTGTTGTTAGTTTTGATTTTTTGTGGCCCCCGTTCTTGAGGTTAAAGGGAGCTGAGAGTACCACAGTTCTGAAAGTGTCCCATCGTTTACTCGACTCCTCATCCTCAGCTGCCACCTCTGTGTCCCCCCCGCAATCCCCCTTTTTGTTGTGATAAATGTCTCCTTCATGTCTGTGTTCACACAGACAGCAAAAAAAAAGTCCATCCAGCTAAGTCCTTGCATCCCCACCTTTTGTTTTCTTCTAAAAAGTCCTTCATTTGACTGTTTTTTTTAATTTATCAACAAGGTGCCTTATGTCTGCACAACAGAGCTTAGTAGTAACAAGAAATAGAAACTTTGTGTCTATGGTACTAATGAAATACCCGCATCAATACAGAGAGGAAGAGAGAGGGTTGTGGGTGTGTGTGTGGTGGTGGGGGGGGGGGGGGTAGAGAACCAAGGATCGGATGAAGAGATTTTCTTCTGCTTCGAAATTTGTCAGCTTTTGTGTTTGTAAACCTGTTTTTGCTTCATTTGTAACATATGTTCCTGATTTTGAAGTTTGCGCTTTAAAATTAGACTATTGTTTTTCATTTTTTGATTTTAAACAAAAGGATAATTATTTCAGTTTAAAGCTGATTGTTGGTTGCTGTGGCACACACTGCCCATCATCGTGTGGGGTCCCGCTGTGTGTTAACCCTAGTACCGTATTCTCTGACTTACATTAAAGGCGGTAAGCATTGRCTCTGTTTGTTGTACGTGAGACCAGCCACGTGTGGTCAGAGTTAGGGTTGGCTGCTGATTGATCATTTTTCGTTTTGCTTTGTTTTGTGGTAATTATCAGAAGGTTTGCTTTAAATCACATCACTTGAGAGATTTTTTTTTTTTAAATTGGTTTTGCTATAAAAGTGATGAAACATGATTTGAGGAAAAACATGAAGCCTCTCATAGTAATCAACGAGAAACTTCCTGTTAATTTCACTCTATTGTACTTCTTCACAATCAATTTTTTAAATCTGTCTTTCTTTTTATGTGTTGATTTATACCCGAATAACTCCCCTGCCTTTTGCTAAATTCTTGCATTTTCAGTATTCAGTTTGAACCCCCACACACCCACACACCCTTCTTCCTCCTTTTCCTCCAGCTTCACCAGCACTGGCTGGATGAGGAACAACAATAGGATAATGGTTAGCTATTGATCTGCCTTCAAAGAGCTGCGAGGGCCTGAATGTGTTGTGCCATGACTTCTTCTCAGCATCTAGTGGCTCTTCCCTCCCCCTCCCCTCCGCTCTGCTGGTTACAGGCCTCTACTGTCAACAACAGGGGGCACTGTTGCTCTGCCAGAGCAGGCAGGACAGGGATAGAGGTGTGCTGCTGCTGCTGCTGCTGAGGCCTTTGTGTTCCCAACTCCACTGGCTTCTATGTGCTCCTCTGCTTTTAATATGCAGCCGTAATGTAGCTGGCTGGATGCCCGAGCRTGTTGTTGTCATCGCACGGTTCTCCATTATTGATCTCGAGAGAAAGCTCCCAGCAGAACAAAGAGCATGTCCAGACATCTCACCTGCCTCGGCCCCCTACCAACCCACCCACCCCTCCACCCCGTTGGTCAAGAGAAACACAGGCTCTTGGCTCGGGCTAAAAGGAGCTGCGACACATCTTCCTGCAGGCCTTTGACATCTGTGCAAAAAATATATATAACCTTGGCCTGGAAGACCTGAGAATCTCCTGCCGAGCATCTTGGGTTTCACCTTCAGGAGTGGGGGGGTGGGGGTTGGGGGGGGGGGGGGGGGGAGAAGGGGGTGGGGGGTCAAGGAGCCGCGTTCTCTGTCTGCATCGATTCATTTTTCAATTTATTAGTTTGCTGTATGATCAGGCTGAGCTGCTCTCTGAAATGGCTGGCCATCAGGGAATACCTTTGGCTGAGGAATGAAGGTGACTACAGGAGGAAGGAGGGAAGGTGGAGGCGGGGAACTGAACAAAAAAAACCTTGTTGTTTTCTTTATGACGACCTTTATATGCATGTATGTGTGTGAGAGAATGATGGGGCACTGATAATAAGGCTATGTGTAGTTGTCTCGTCAGATTTATTGCCGTTCTTTTACCCTTGTTGCTTCCATGTGCCGGCGTGGAGAGGATGTGAGTGAAGGAGGCAGACACAAAGGAGGTGAGGTTGAGAGGSGGGAAAAGCAGAGTCAGTGGCTACTTTTGGGTGAAGAAGAAGGAGGCTGGCAAAATGCAAGTACCATCCCGAAAAAGAAGAAGAAGAAGAAGAAGTAGAAGTAAAAACGAAAAGATCAAATCTTTGGTGTCTCTTTGCTTTGTAAGATGTCTTAAAAATTATTCTTTTCTCAAAAATTAAGACATAAATCTATGATTGTCCATCTGTGAGAAATGCAGATTGGACCTGACTTCACGCCTCACCTCTTGGATTATGCTTCTTCAGGTGAGGGTTTGACGTTTTGGCTGACAAAAACAGATGATTGCATGGCACAGAAGATTTCTTTTTTTTTTTTTTTTTTTTTTTTTTTTCAGGGAGAGGGCACATTCAGAACTGTCCAGGCCAGGTCGAGACAGGTATCACTGTCAACCTCTTGTGACCCCTGCTGCTCTGACCTGGTTCCCCAGCTCTCTGAAGGCTTCCTCCTCCTCCTCCTCCTCTTCAGGCCTTAGAGAATGTGGTAGTGGATGTGCCCGGCTGCCCCGGGCTGGTGCCGTGGTCGTCGTGCCAGCGGTCCACGCAGCGGCGCCGCGCGTTCATGAAGAAGTTGCTGACGGTGCTGAGCTCCAAGCCCARCTGCTGGGAGATGGTGATCTGCATTTCCTTGGAGGGACGCTTGTTCTCCTTGAAGATGGCGATGAGCGTGCGCCGCTGCAGGTCGGTGAAGACCAGTCGCTGTTTCTTGGGCGCCGTGTTGCGGTCCTTGTGTTGCTCCTGCTCTTTGCGCTTGCAGGCTTGGCGTGGGTGGCAGCGGTGGGACAGGGGCAGGGAGAGAAAACAAAGCAGAAGGTAAATATACAGAAGTGATTGTGTTTGGTGCCACAGAAAAAATTAATAAATTAAAAAAAAAAGAGAGCAGGTAGAGGGAGCTGATGGTGAGTACTTAAACACATAAAAACTAGTTCACGCACCAGCAGAGATGCTACAGCTCTATCTCTATCGCTATATAAAAGTTGATTTAAAGCTAATCCATGCCTCCTGCCCAGTGGGAATATTCTTTCCATCTTGCAGAGTGCAGACAGGGAACCAGCCTGCGGTGAGAGAAAGATGGGGTGGGGAGGGCACGGCAGCGGGACTGGCTGTTGCCTGCTAGCTGGAGACACTGCTGTTTGATTCAATATTAATGCAGTTTGAGTCGCAATGGGGGTCTAAGTGACTGTTGCACAAAAGTAAGCATTTTCTGTTTCTTTGTGCGTGTGTGTGTGTGTGTGTGTGTGTGTGTGTGTGTGTGTGTGTGTGTGTGTGTGTGTGT